CCTCAGTGCAAGCACTGCAGTTCTGAAATATGGTACCAAAAGCAGCCACAGTGAGAGTGACACTCCAGATTGAGATGCCACATCATACACTAGCACTCATACAGATGTTAGTACAGCTTCCAGTAGCAGAGACCCATGCTTTGGGCCAGATGGAGCTTTGCAATATATTGAGGAAGGGCTGTATCAGCCCATAATTGTGTTTCCAGGCACTCTGTCTGGCTATAAAATAAGAAAATTCAGAAAAGAATGGTACGGTGATCACAAATGGCTTGAATACAGTGTCTGTCAGGACACAGCTTTCTGTTTCTGCTGCTGAGCATTTAGCAGTTCCCAAACAGGTGACCAAGCATTCCGAAATGCGGGTTTTCAATCATGGAAGAAAGCCGATGAAAGATTTCATGAGCATTCAAGGTCTGAAGCACATCTCAAAGCTCTTGCTAAATGACAGGGCTGGCTGCAGCCCAGGAAAAGGGGGAGTGTTGCATCACAACTTGACAGTCAGAGGAAAAAAAAACAGTGGACAAAAACTGATCATAATTACTGTCACAACCCAAAGGGTGCGATTTTTGTTTTGTGTGCTTTGGCACTGCTAAATTGTTCCCACTAAATTGCAGTTTCTTTGCACGGTGGAGTTTTCTGCTGCAGAGGAGAGCCCCGGTGCAAAAGAATTCCCTCCAATTTGTAGCTTTCTTTGCATGTTGCATTTCTTTTGCATCTAAGAAATGCTCGGTGCAAAGAGTTCCCGCCATTCGTATTCTAATTTGTGCCCCACCATTGGCCAGTTCTAAATTATTCACATGTGGCGGCTAGCGATTGGCTTGCTAGCCGTATAAAAGGCTTGAGTGGTTTCCGCCCAAGTTGGAGGACTCCACGAACACCAGGAGGAGGAGACTTCATGCTGTGTGAAGATCTCTAAGCACTGCGGAGCCTATCGGACCCAGCGCATTTCAAGCAGGCAACAGGGGTCTGATCAGCCTCTAGCCTCTAGCCTTTCCCCGTCACCGAGTGCAATCCTCGACGTATCCCTCTCCCTGCTCCCTGCGCGCAAAAAGGATCCACGGAGCCTAGCAAACTTCGTGTGAGTTTATTCCTTGCCAGCTGGAGCAACTGACATAGTTGTTCAGACGACCGGACTACCTCAGAGCACAAGTTCCACGGAGCCTAGCAAACTTCGTGTGAGTCTATTCAGAGCTCTTTTGTACGAGTACTTTCTTCGGTTGGCACGACGGGCTCACGGTTTAGAGCCTCCAACCGGATGGGCTAGAAGAGTGTTCACGGGAAGGAACTCTAGTCCGCCTCTTATCTTTTCTATCTGTAACCGCAACTCAAGCAAGTTTTCTTGCCTGCACCGCGACCATCTTGGGTGTAAGTAAATAATCTTTGAATCAACCACTATGCCTCTGTGACGAATTCTTGCCCGTGCGTGCCTTGCCGCCGCACAGTCTTCTCTGACCCCGCGTGCCCGGGCTGCTGGCCACAGCCCGCGTGCGCAAAGACGGGTCCGCATATCGCTCTCGGCTCGCACATGGTGACATGGATGGGATCGGGAGGCGGCCTGCACACTTACAAACTGTAATACAGACTGTGTTGTTCTGTGTTCACCAAGGCATACCTTTGAGGGGACATGATGAGGGAGTTGATTCCACAAATCAAGGAAACTTGCGGGAATTGGTGAAACTGTGTAGTGAAGACAACAAAATGATTCAGCGGTTTATGATTAACTGAGAGAAGTTCTTCACACAGCTCCTGTCAAAATGAAATACTTGAGATTATGGCTTCACAAGTCCAGGATTCAATAGTAAAGTAAGTAAAGGAAGCTGGAGTATTTGCCATCATTGCAGATGAAACAATGGATCTCTCCAGGCATGAACAAGTCACTCTCATGCTGCGATATGTAAACCAGTCCTTTGAAATACAAGAACGATTTATTGGCTTCTATAGGACACTGCAGACAGATGGTGCTTCACTTGCCACACTGATCAAGACTGCTTTGTCAGATTTGGGACTTGATATTTTGACTCTAAGAGGTCAGTGCTATGATGGAGTTGCAAGCATGAGAGGACCCTGTAAAGGTGTGGCCACACGGATACTTAGTGAGGATCCTTTAGCTTATTACATTCACTGCTATGCTCATATATTAAATCTGTGCATAGTGGATGTGGTTTCTTGTATTTCCTCTGTCCAGAATGCCTTCACACTTCTGCATGAGCTATGAACTTTCACTGAAGGAAACACAAGGAGACATGTTATCTTTGGAAAAATAATATCAGAAAGAAGACGATCAGAAACTGCTTCTTTTTCTGGTGGACCAGGAACTCTTAAACCTCACAGTGGCACTTGATGGAACTGTCAAGTCGAGGCTATCAAAACTCTTTCAGAAAATTTTGGTGAAGTAGTTGAAACTTTGGATTAAATTGAACATGGGGGTTCAAAAGCTAGAGTTGAAGCTTGTGTACATCTCCGATGCCTGCAAGACTTCTACTTCCTGAACTGCATGCTGCTTATGAGGAGAGTGCTTATACAAACCAGCCACCTATCCAAACTTATTCAATCAAAAGACTTTATATTTCATGGAGCAACAGTGATGGCTAAATACACGGTGTCTGTACTCCAAGGACTGAGAAGTGAGGAGTTTGCATCCCAAGTATAAACAACGCTAATGAACTGTACCAGAAAAATGGGTATCCTGGATCTTATATCCTTCGTAAAAGGGTTGTTCCCTGAAAACTGGGAGGAGGGGAAATGTCCTCCTTTGAGAAACCAGAGGACTATTACAGGACAGAAATACTATACAGAACATTGGACAGACACCCTTATTAGTAACTTCGAAGACCGCTTCACTGAGAATGACCTAAACAGTTTCAAGTTACTGGAAGATGTTCTCTCTTCTGAGACCCCATCAGAGGAACGCATAGGCACTATTTCCAAAAATTACAGGATTGCTCAAGAGGATCTGAGGTCTGAAATCTATGTGTTTTCTAGACTGTTTGAAATTCATGGCAGTGCTGGCATGAGTCTTGAAGTGGAGCGCCTTCAGATTGAAAGAAGAGTGAAGTTATTTTATGAAATGTCACTGTGTGATACCCTTCCAAATCTGGAAAACTTCTTTGTACTTTACCTAACTATACCAGTTACCTACAGCATCATCAGAGAAAAGCTTTTCTTCATTGGGGCAGCTGAAAACTTACCTGGGGACTACAATGACAGATGCTCATGTTTCTAACCTGGGAATACTACAGACTGAAAAACAAGCTATCAATGTACCTGACATCATTGCACAGTTTGCCAGCAGAAAGGACCAATGCCTACAATTCTTCTAACAAGGTAAGTAACAGGGGGCTGACTCCTTATGTATGGGAGGTGTGAGGGTGGGCAGGGTCTGTGGCAGGAATTGCATGGCAGCCTGTACATGCTTTGGCTGCTCATCAGGTCAGGGGAACCAGCCAGTCAAAGCAGCTGTTGGGTGGCAAGGACCATGACGCTGCCTCAGATTCTTTCTCTGTTTTCCTTATGATTCTTAGGTATTTTGCCCACCCCCACAGTGATGCAGATGAAGAGCATGAAGAGAAGAAAGAAGCACAAAGCTAAGTACACATTCTTTATTTGGTTTGGCTTGTGGGATGTTCCTGAATATACCTGTGATTTTTTTGTTTGTTTGTTTTGTTTTCCTTGTGATTCCTTGATTGATTTGCCCACTGCCTGTGATGAAAATGAAGGTCTCAATAGAGCTTTCCAGGGCACAAAGCTCTTTATTCAGTTTGGTTTGAATTTGATTTGTGAGTGTGACTCTACAAGCATTGCCAGGACCCTGAAGTCCAACTACCTGGAGGCCAGGGTTCCTGCTAGTGGACCCGTGGTCCACCCATAGAAGCAACAGCAAAGTAGTCAGGGAGAGCCAGGGGAATACCTGTGTTCACCTGACCCGACTCACAAATCTTTGCCTCATGCAGATAGGATGACTTATGTGAATGCCTTGATATGTTGCTGTTACTCAGTTTATTGTTACAGAAGTATAGAAGTGGATATGGGGTTTTTGGCCTGCCCACAAATTGTGCCCCCCCCCCCCCCCCGAGTCTCAGAAGACACCAGTTGCCCATGCAGATGCTGACAATTATATTCCATCCCATCTTTATTATATGTACGTATTCAGTATTTTTTGCATGGGGAGTGACAGAAATGGGTTTGCGACAGTTTCAATTTATTCCTCTTTGAGTTTTCATGAATACTATGAGCTTTCAGGAGTACAGAGCCCACACAAAATGAAATAGTCAGTAATGACAGACAAAGATGGAAAGAGCTAAAACTACAATGTAATTTGATATCCTTCAGGTTTTGACTCTGATTTCTTCCAGATTAATTTCTTTTTAATGATACTGGGACACCTCATCTGGTTTTGCTCTCTTATTTTGTTTGTAGTTATATTATAAAGAGACCTGAAAGGACCTAGCTGATATTAGAGCCCCTTTGTGCTGGGTTTTATGTATACACATTGTAAGAAGCAGATCTTGCCTCCAAGAATTTATGATCCAGGTGGACAGAACAGAAAATGGAAATAGCGTTATCTCTATTTACAGGAAAATGGAGGCACACAGAGGTTATTAAGCTATTTATCCTAAATTACAGAAGTCTAAGGACCTTGTTAGACATTATACTTTGAGCTGCACAAATGTTGGTTGGCTTAGTGCTAGCTTGGAGTATGGAGCAGTTACACCTTTAGTCTAGAAACCTTCTCTAACTGTCCCCAACCTGCAGAGCTGTGACTTGCCACTACAGACGTGGTGAGCAGGGAGGTCCTTTCCAGCCCTGCTTCTCTATGCTTCACCTGTCTCTTTCCCACTGCAGCAACAACATTGTAGACTGCAGGGAGGGGAGGGAAGTGGCAGGGTCCCTCAAGAGCATGGTAGAGGTATTCAGTATGGGGCTGCATCGAGAGGTTGCTGTCTACCCGGCTTCCGGCATCCATGTGCTCTGGGCTCTCTTACGTCCACATCTGGGCACATTTCCCAGCCATATGCGTCCTTCAGGCTGTTCCCAGTACCCAGACAACTTCAGCCTGAGGGGGGCTCATCTGCTGCACTACCTCTCCCTTCCCGCCCTACCTCTCCCCTTCTTGGTACTCCTGGACCTAGTGGGGCCAGCCCAGCAGCACGTAGGATGACTGCATAAACACACCTGGCCTTTGGCAGGGGAAGGCACATGAGGTGGCATCGGGAAGCTGGTGGTGGCAGAGGTGGGCAAGGGGCTGGGCCTGAGGCAGCAGTGACGGCTGGTGCAGCCAGCTCCCCCGCAAGTTGGCTTCATTCTGTAGCTGGAAGCAGTCTGCCCGCAGCTGGGGTGGGTCACTGCATCCTGGGATATTGGAGGACTTAAATTTGAGCAGCACATCTGTTGGAAGTGGCCACATGTTAATGGAACAGGAGCTGGATTGTATGGATCAGAAATAATCCTGCCCTGAAGTGGTATAACTTTGAGCCATATAATGAATGCTTAAGCCATTTAAAGGTGTTATTGTGTGGACAATCCAGGGGTTAAGAGCTCCAGAAACTGCCCAAAATTAATATATAACAAGGCCCTAAAGAAGGTAAAACTGGATCTATATGTCCTGGGTCCTAACCCAATAATGTCACGACAATACCAACATTCATCTCTCTTTCTGTGCTTTAAGTGAAAATTCTCATTACACTCAATTTCTTTTAAGTATTCTACAGTGCAGTGACCATATATTTAGTGGATTTGAAATGGGGCTTAAACAGCCGCCAAATAATTCTATACCTTAGATAAATCAAGGACATGACATCTTCCAATGGAATATGATTTTTCATGAAGGACATGCAATATTATCCTTATAACGAGAGCAATTCTGATAAGCTTTCTAAAGCTGGTAGCCAAGAGTATATTAACACAGAAACTTGTTGGTAAAAGAATCAATAAGTAAAATAAGATAGTACTGTCTAAAATACCAAGTGCCCAAAAAATTCTACTTTCAAGCACACACTACTGAGGAAGAAGAAAGATTAGCATTTGCAGAATGCAAAGCAGACGTACTACATTCTGTTATAAGCAGGGATCCTGGTTTTTCCTGATTAAAAAATAGCAAATTCTCTGATAAAACACCCCAAATCTGAAAATAAAATGAAATGCCATTACATATATAGGTATCAACTGAATGCAATATTTTATTGATATATTTACAATTTTAAAGTAATTTGGAAGTCTACCAGTGCCTCAATCACTATAGTAAAATAAATTCTAAGTATGCACCTATACATTTTGGTATTTGATTTTGGATTTTTTTATCATGGAAAATCAGAGCTCTCCCTACCCTCTTAGCTCACCAGGATGCAAGTCCAGGCCCCTCACTCCCAAGCCACAGCTCCCCAGCCCTTCTAGTGCTGCTCGCTCCCCACCCACAGCCCACATGGCGTCCCTGCCTGACCACCCTCCTCTCACTCCCTCTAGCTCCTTGCAGGCTGGACCTCTGCTAGCCTGCAGGGAGCTCTTTACAAAAGAGCAAAATCCATGTGTTTCTCTGTTAAAATGAAAAATCTGCATTTTTCTCAGGTAAAAGGGAAAATCCATGGGTTGTTCCATTTTTCTGTTGGAAATGGAAAACCTGGATCCGTGCTCATTACTTTGCAAGGGTTTACAGGATCTGGCCCAGCTTTGCCAGTACAGTATTTATTGTCAAAGTAGAACTTTCCAGAAAACTATTCTGAATATCCAATTATTTTTAGGAAGGATTATGATAGACAACTTGCAAGCATAATCATAAATTTATATTTTGCTGACACTCTTTGCAATCAGAATGACCAAAAGCTTTTATTAGTTACAGTTTAGGTAATGCAGAGAAGAGGAGCCAATTCCAAAAGAAAAGGTTTTAAATGTTTTCCATAAATAAGCTTTGTCTACTTGAGTCATCATAATTTACAGATTATACAAATGTTCAATGCATGATTATGTTTGCTCTCCTGACACCACTGGGCAACTTTAGTTAGACTCCTGATCTGTAGCATTTAATGAGTTCCTTGTGCCTGGCTCCTTCTCATGAGCCTCTCCTGTACTGTCCTAGCTTATCCAGACTTCTTGGTTACTTCTTGATGGATGGAAAAAAATAAGACATGGGATCTACAAACCTCTTCTGCTTACCTTACCAAAATGAAATAGTAGACAAAGTACATTGGGCTTATGATTCCTTTCTTATAATCCTTTCTTATGACTTTTTGAACAATAAAAGCAGTTAATATGTTATCTTAATAATTATCACTGAAAAGCATCTGCATTTATGTTCCAGACTTGGATATCCCTCCACTCTGGTCACTCTGGCATTGGAGAGACAAGAAAATGAGATCAAAAGAGAGGCTCAAGAGAGATGTCTGGAGTGGTCTAACTGATGCATTTCTGGGTTTGGAGCCTGCAAGTGGGAACAGGTGAATGGGCAGATGTATTTGGGGGAAAAACTCTGCCAGGAGAAGCTGCTGCCCTGGCTGGACATACACTTACGTGCCTCCAACTGGAGATCCTGAGGGACTAGTGTCAAACAGGGATTTACCAAGTTATGCTATAGGAAACACTAGACGTGGAGATTTGTGTGATGTCCCTCTCATCTTCAAGCCTCAGGACTGCAAATAAAGCACTTCCACTCAGGCTCTAGGGCACCCAAAGTTTGGGTGACTAAATAGCTGGTGACGGTACTCTACTTAATAGTTGGCACACTTGCTTAGGAAACAGTTCTGGTCCTTATGAACTGGCTAAGCATAAAATGCATAAATAGTCCAGGGAGCAGGAGCCAAAACCAAGGCTTCTCTACTCCCAGAGACTTTTTCTCATCATTATCAGTGCAGTGCAGAGGCCTTCTCCCTCTTGTTTCAGTTCTTTTTGGCCCATTAAATCTTGCATTTTTTGGCTGCTCCATGGCCTAAAAGGAGGGGTAGAAGATACCCCACTCATTTTATTTTATAAATGGTAATTAGGACAATCTCCTCTAAGATGGGAGATGTGGGTTTGAATCCTCTCAAGCTGAGGAGAATGTAGGAGCTAAACCTCTCCCATGAGCGATGCATGCCCCTGGAGACTGGGTGGGGCATGTCGATCCCCCGCAGGCAGCAGCAGTGTCGATGGCGGTGGTGCGGCGGCGGCGAGCGGGGAGCTCCTGCAGGCAGCCATGGTGGGGCCAAGCTGAGCAGGGAGCTCCTACAGGCAGCTGCAGCAGTGTTGGCAGCGGGAGGAAGAGTGGCAAGTATCGACCAGTGGTAAGCAACTGTCAGCGGCAGCCAGCGGCAATCGGGGACTGCCTGCAGATGCCACCAGCAGTGTTGGCGGTGGGGGTGGGAGGTGGCAAGCAGTGACTGCCTGCAGGTACCGCTGACAGCATAGGTGGCACTTTTTGCCGGGGTGCACTGCCCATCTCAGGGGCATCACCAATGGCCTTTCTCATCCTGCTTAAACATGTTAAATAAAAGCCTATTCTACCAAAGTTAGGCATTACCACCATGACCATGATAATGATGTGAGCTAATCACCTACATACATAAAAATGACTTGTATACCTAGTCCAAGGGGTGGTTTCAAGCTATAAATTCCCATATTCTGCCAGTGCATAACTGCTGCCTATGTCCAGGAGACAGGTGGGATTTCCCCTTCTTCTTTCTGTGTTTACCTGAGGCATTTCTTGCTTATCTGTGAATCCCAACCTTAGGTACTTAAGCATGTACATGTAACATACAAGAAATTTAGCACCTAACTTACATTTGTGGGTTCTATGTATGGAGCCAGGCAAGTAAATTTTAGGTCTGTGAATGCTCAGGATTGCTATATCCAAGGACCTTCTTGGATCTGAACTTTTATTTGCTAAAAAGAACACTTAGGAGTATGAAAACATGGCAAACTCTTAGTCAAATTAAGCTAAGAAGCAAAAGAAAGCATAAAGCCTTTGCCCAGAATAATTATTAAATGTTCTTTCTTCTTTGACAGAGACCTTAGCAACCACTCAGCTACCTTTGTACTTTAAAGATCTTCAGTTCCTGAGTTCTCTCCCCAAGAACATACCCCGTGAGCTTCAAAATATTCATTTTATTTTCTTCAAACATGATTAAAATGCTGACACTTTTCCCCTGAGAAGACAGAGAAGCTTTAGTCTACACTTTTGCTTTTATTGCCTCTAGTCTGGACTACTGAACTTCACTTTTTTTAGGAGTTTCAGTTGGATCTAATAATAGATCCCACAAAGCAGCTGCAAGATTTGCTAAGCCCAAACAAAATAAATCATCTTTTTGTAGCCTTTGTATTCACAACTTTTGTATTTAATATTTTACTTTTCATTTTTAAACTTCTACATTCTTGTTCCTCAGATCAAAACCCTGCTTTCAAAGCAAAACCAATGCACAGTGCTGATTAAGGTGAAATCTTGCAGGCTTTTGAAAGAGAAAAAATGATTGTGTGCCTAACAAAATACATTTGTATGATCTCAAGTTTAATATATTAAGTTTCAGCCATGAAGGTTCCAGTAGGAGATTAAATGTAGTCCTCCATCATCCCAGGATTCGCTTCTCCCACAGAGTAGGAGCTCCTTGCTCATTTAATCTCCAAGGAGCAGACTGAAGCTACTTTAACATAAGCTAGGTAGAGATCCACATGTTTAAACTCCTTAACTCATGCTAAGCATCCTCTGAGCATCAGAAAGTTACCTAGCTTGATGTAATATATCTGTGACCCATATTGCCTTCCCATGAACTGCACCTCATACTCCAAACCCTCTACTCCTCTTATGACCTTCTATGGCTATTACACTTTAGCAAGGAGCTTGCTTTATGACATGGGGAATAACAACAGGACCTGATCTCTGGCATAGCAGACTTGGAGCCAAGCATCCTTGTTATAATGCTGTTCCTGGGTTTGCTGCACAGCTCTAAGGTTTTCCCTGGAAGAAGCCCCCAATAGATCCAGTCACTCCCATAGCCAGAAAATTTATTGGGCAGCATTTGGGGCTTTTGTGCCTTGTACTTCCCAGGTTTCACGTAGCAGGTATAATGCCCCTCAAGGCTGCCTCCTGTGTAGGGGTTCAAAGGGAAAGAACCCTGTAGATGATTGGAGCACTTCCTAGATTATAAACAGTAGATAAGGAAGGTGCATGTCCCACTTCCAGGGCTCCCGTATCATAAATTTCTCCCCAAATTTCTGACCAGGTGATTTTTCAGAAGTATTCATACTTTTTGCTGAAGCAGAGATATAGAGATGGTGCCTTGATCTCTTAATATTTCTCATGGGAGGCTTACCCCCAAGATCTTAAGCAGTTTTGTGACTATTATCTGAGCTGAGGCATTGTGGATGACCATCACCTCTGGATACCAGATAGCATAATCCACAAGGAGCAACATAAAGCATCAGCCACTGGTACTAGGTTCAAAAGGTCCTATGAGGTCTATCCCAACCTGCTCAAATGGGTACACACCAATGGCAAAAAGAAACAATGGTGCTACCAGCAGGGGGCTACCAGTTGGCACTTGGGGCATGAGGCACAAAAACCTTTCATGACCTGGTAAATTCCAGGCCAGAACTTGATGACCACCCTTTCCTAGATCTTAAAAAGGGAAAGATGGCTCTGATACACCCTAGCTTGGTTTCATTTGGGACAGTGGTCTCCAACCTTTTAAAGTAGATCACCTTTGGCATTTAAAAGCAACCCAAGATCTACTGTGTGCCATACCAAAAGTATTTTTCTTTCTTTTGAAAAATAAAATAAGTAGCAGCAATAGCTCCCAAGATATTGTGGCTGAATTACTGCTTTGCCACTAAGGTCACATTTCTGAGATATTGAAAGTAGGAGTAAAGCAGTAGCAACTAGGGGTGTGCAAAGCTTCGGTCCCTGATGCAATTTGGTGGAGATTCGGTGGCCAAATCTCCAAATCCGAATTGAATCAGGAGACCCTTTAATCTCTCTGAATCAAATCGGAGAGATTTGGAAATATTGATGATTCGGACATAGACACAGCTTTAAATGCATTTTCTACATACCTCAAGGTACCAGGCAGCTCGTGA